TTTGATTATTTATTTTCACAATATAATATACATAAATAGTACTAAAAAGACTAATTTTGATCTATGAGAATCTATTATTCAATCTTTTCATTCTTCAATCTCATTTTCTTAATTTATCTCTTTGCCTTTTGTCTCTTCTTACATTTTCTTAATGGGGTTTACCGTGAAAAAAACTTTATGATCAGATACAGAACCCTAATTCTTTTTATTAACCAATTTTCATCAAGTTGGTTACTATAAATTTTTATTTTATTTTATTTTTATATTATTCTGACTTCGTATAACAATAAATATGTCTTTATATTTTTATTAAATCACAATTGGATGCATAATTATATTTCACATTGATAAGATAATGAAATAAATTAATTAAATTAATTGAAGGATAGAACTCAAACAAAAGTTCAAGCGCATGTGTAAGCTACTTTACTTTACCTATCTCTCTCCTTCATCTTCGTATTCATCTTCAATGGATCATTCAATACCTTTGATTTGAGTTTATTGACAATATTAATGAAAATGAATCTATATACATATTTCAGGCGACAAGTCAATGATTAAGAAGCGATACATGTACTTGAACGAGGAGATCCTGAAAGAGAATCCTAGTGTGTGTGCTTATATCACTACTAGAAAAATGTCAAATAGTAACCGAAATCAGTGACCGAAAAATTTAGTTACTATCAGTGACCGAATCAGTAACCAAATTATTATTTTTTAGTCTAGTAACCGAAATAGTAACCGAATTTTCGGTCACAAAAAATCGGTTACTATTTCAGTCACTTTATTATTTAATTTATTTTTTTAATTAATCTATATTTAATTTATGTAATTATTTACTACAAAAATGGTTAATAGTGACTGAAATTAGTGACTGATTTTTTTTTATATTTAGTAACTGATTTAGTGACTAAAATTTCAGTCACTAAAAAAATAATTTTTAAACTGATAACTATTTTTCATTTATATAAATATTTTATTTAAAATATTTTAAATATAAATTTACTTAATGATTTAAAATAATTGATAACATTTTTAATAAAATTATAAATATTTTAAAAAAATTGTTTACTAACTTATTAAATAATTTAGTAATATAATTATTTGATTTTATTTTTTAATTTAGCATGTGAATAAAAAAATTAAAATTGATTATTAAATTAGTCACCGAATCGGTCATTGATTCGGTCACCGAATCGGTCATCGATTCGGTCATCGAATCGGTCATCGAATCGGTCACCGAATCGATCCATCGATTCGGTCACCGATCGATCATCGAATCGGTCACGATCGATTCTAGGTCAGTCGATTCGGTCACAGATCGGTCATTGATCAGTCATCGAATCGGTCACTAAATCAATAATTAAATTAATTATTAATTTAGTCTCTTTATATATATATATATATATATATATATATATATATATATTACTTGTATGTTAATAAAAATGTATTTCAATGTATTTATAAAAAATTAAAATTATTTTAATTACTTGAATTGATATTTTAAATTTATATTAATATCTTGAATAATTTAATAGTTGGATATATATATATATATATATATATATATATATATATATCACTTTACTTTTTTTTAATTAAAATTAATTTCATAAAAAAATTAATATTTGAAAATTAAAATGCAAATATATATATATATATATATAAATTTATTTATTTTTTAAAGATGATATATTCAATGTATGTTAAAAAAGTTCAAGCCAAACTGTTTTTATAGAAGATTTTCAAAACTGTTGGTTTAATTAATCTGTTAAAAGATTCTTTTAATATGTTAAAAGTGCAGTTTTAATCTGTTAAAACTTCTTTTAATTCATTAATACGTTCTTGATTCTTTAACTGATTTGTTTTAATTGATACGACAACGTTTATATCAATTAAAACACTTTACAAAAAATCTTCTAAGTTGATTTAATCGATTGTTCGCGATTCAATCGATTGAAATCTTGCAAAACTTTCTCCTAAAACTTTTCAAGTTATTTTAAGCTGATAAAAATAAGTTTTAATCGATTAAAATGCATGTTGAAGTTTAATCGATTGAAACGATTTAATCGATTAAAATAGTTATGATCAGTCATAATTGCATTCGACCGATCATAATGGAAACCATATAATAGCGCTTCAACGGTTAACAGCTATCTAAGTGAGCTTTTAAGAGCGGTTCTCGTGTAACCGCTATCTAAAGCTGTATTTCGCTTGAGCGACAACTTTCTCGCTCGAGCGAAACGCTCCTGCACAAAATTGGTACTCTCGGGTTGTATTTCGCTTGAGCGAGTCTAGTCTCGCTCGAGCGATAATTGATTCTGATCGATTATATTTTCGAAATGATCGATCATATTTGATAATTTTTTCAAATAATTAATTATAATCGATTAGTTTTCTAAATTATTGATTAGAATTGATTAGTTTTTCAAATAATAGATTAGATTTGATTAATTTCAAAATATATACTAAAAAATTATAATTAAAACTATAAATTAGTTAAGAATATTGACTATTGTAAAGATAAAGTAGAACATGGGAGGAGATGATGATGATAATATAATGATAGAACTTACAAAAATGTAGAATTGAGAAGTTTGAAACAAATAAAATTAAGAAAATAGATATTTAATTACACTTTTAATAAATTTAAGATAATACTAGTTTTGATTTTTTTTTAATATTTTTTTTAATTATTTAAAACAGAGAAACTATAATTTTAGTTTCTAACTACCTGAATTTAAAGAATTAAATTTATTATTATTTAATCTTTTAATTTTAGTATTAAAATTTTAAATTATATTTTATTAAATTAAAATAATTACAATATATTTTTCTACTTTGAGAATGAACAATATAATTAAACTCAAAATTGACAATGTTATAATACATTTTTGAACTGTTTTGGATTAATTTTTTTTCCTAATTTTTTATAAAGTTAATTTTAATATTTAAAAGTATTTAACATTTTGAATTACGAAAGGTTTTCTCTAATAGAAAATTTAAAAACATAAATTAAAAAAATAGTTAATATAAGTTTTCAAGTTATTTTAACTGATAAAAATAAGTTATAATCGATTAAAACATCTATGCAGAAATTGTTTTAATCGATTGAAACTAGATTTTAATCGATTAAAATAGTTATGATCGGTCATAATTGCATTACGACCGATCATAATGGAAACCATATAATAGCGGTTCAACGATTAACCGCTATCTAAGTGAGCTTTTAAGAGCGGTTCCTGTGTAACCGCTATCTAAAGCTGTATCTCGCTCGAGCGAAACGCCCCTGCACAAAATTGGTACTCTCGGTTGTATTTCGCTTGAGCGAGTCTAGTCTCGCTCGAGCGATAATTGATTCTGATCGATTATATTTTTGAAATGATCGATCATATTTGATAATTTTTTCAAATAATTAATTATAATCGATTAGTTTTCTAAATTATTGATTAGAATTGATTAGTTTTTCAAATAATAGATTAGAATTGATTAATTTCAAAATATATACTAAAAAATTATAATTAAAACTATAAATTAGTTAAGAATATTGACTATTGTAAAGATAAAGTAGAACATGGGAGGAGATGAGGATGATATAATATAATGATAGAACTTACAAAAATGTAGAATTGAGAAGTTTTAAAAAAAAATAAGAAAATAGAGATTTAATTATACTTTTAATAAATTTAAGATAATACTAGTTTTTAAACCTTTTTCTAATATTTGTTTTTAAAAATATAATATCATTTTTAATATTTTATAGATTTTATATTTATATATTTATAAAAGTAATTGGATTAAATTTATTATCCTCTCATATATTATTATACATTTAGCGTAATTTTAGTTTATTTAAAAATTAGAATACAAATATACTATACCAATATACCATTATATTATTTTCATTGTATATAAATTACAAAATTAATAATTTGTATACTATACTATACTAACATATTATTTGTATACTATACTAATAGTATAATATACTATATTATAATATTATTTGTATACAAAACTAATATCTTTATATATAAATATATAAATATGGAAAGATATAAATATATGTAAAAATATAAACATATAAATATGTAAAGATATAAACATATATCTTTAATATTTTGTAAATGTAAATATAATTTATATATATTTTTAAATCTTTTTCTAATATTTATTTTTAAAAATATAATATTTTTTTTAAAATTTAATATTTTTTTTCAAATATATAAATATATAAAGATATAAATGTATAAGGATATAAATAAATATATAAATATATCAAAATATAAAAATATAAATATATTAATATATTAATATATAAATATATCAATATATAAATATATAAATATATATAAATATATATATATAGATATATATATATATATATATATATATATATACAAATATATCAATATTATCCCCTCATATATTAATATACATTATTAGCATAATTTTAATTTAATTAAAAATTAGAATACAAATATACGATACTATACTAATATACCATTATTTGTAGATTTTATATATTAAAATATATAAATATATTTTTATTTATAGATTTTATATTTATATATTTATACGGATATACATTTATTTGTATATAAATATAATTTATTTGTAAGTTATTATTAAAAGATCCTAGTAGTTCAGTGGTTGGAGTTTCGACCTCCAACTCTAAGGTATCAGAGTTCGAATCCTGACAATGACAATAAACCACCTAATAATAAGTTAAACTTCTAAAAAATATAATAAAGATAGGGGAAATAAATATAAATAAAAACTTAAATAAGCAAAATATAATATAATTAAGAGATAGGGAAAATAAATAATAGATATAATAAAAGTGTAAATAAATAAAAAGAATTAAATTTGTTATTGATTAACTTTTTCATTGATTTAGTGATCGATTCAGGTTGGTCACTATTTTAAGTAGTAACCGATTTTGCAGATTTAGTGACCGAATTTTCGGTCACTATTTGATGTTTTTCTTGTAGTGTATGGCACCTTCCTTGGATGCAAGGCAAGACGTGGTGATTGTGGAGGTTCCAAGGTTGGGAAAAGAGGCTGCAACAAAGGCAATAAAAGAATGGGGTCAACCCAAGTCAAAGATCACCCATCTCATATTTTGCACAACTAGTGGTGTGGACATGCCTGGTGCTGATTATCAGCTCACAAAGCTACTGGGACTTTGTCCCTCAGTCAAGCGTTACATGATGTACCAACAAGGATGTTTTGCTGGTGGCACCGTGCTTCGTTTGGCCAAAGACTTGGCTGAAAACAACAAGGGTGCTCGTGTGCTTGTGGTTTGTTCAGAGATCACTACAGTCACATTCCGTGGCCCAAGTGACACCCATCTTGATGGCCTTGTGGGTCAAGCCTTGTTTGGAGATGGTGCAGCTGCAGTCGTCGTTGCATCAGACCCTTTGCCTGTTGAAAACCCTTTGTTTCACCTTGTCTGGACTGCCCAAACAATCCTTCCAGACAGTGAAGGGGCCATTGATGGCCACCTTCGCCAAGTTGGACTCACTTTCCATCTCCTCAAGGATGTTCCCGGACTCATCTCAAAGAACATCGAGAAGGCCTTGCTTGAAGCCTTCCAACCCTTGGGAATCTCTGATTACTACTCTATCTTCTGGATTGCACACCCTGGTGGACCAGCAATTCTAGACCAAGTTATATAGCTGAATTTTCCAATTACATCTCTTGTACTTACGTGCCTTTTGAAATGAGAAATAAAATAACTGAGATTCAAAAAACAGTTCGTTATTGGTTTTTGATCAACAAAGTTATTTCTCGTAATATATTGTTGCATCCTTTTTTCATGAAACATGTGAGAGTTTTCCAAGAACCAGTTTACATGGAAAGCATTAGTAAATCATCTTTCGTAATTGACATGTAGGATCACAATCTGTTTACCATGACGTTTCCTTGATGTCCTTTTCTCTTATTTCTCGAGTATATTATTATAAAAATATGCTTTGGCCAACTCAACTTAAACAAAAGTAATTACTATATATCTACTACATTGCACTGTTCTGAGTGCCGACTGCTCATATTGTTTGGAAATTCGTTTGGACATTAAACAGTTAGGTGAAAGGTCAGCAAACATTCTCAAGCATCTTTTTCCAGTGCCAAAACCAGACACAACGTATTGTCACTTTTTCCAACCAGTCTGACTATATCTCATTCAGGTTGGGTCAATGTTTCCAATTTTGTGCTTTCAGCCTTTTCAATTATTGGTTCAAAGTTCTATTACGTATTAATGTTTACTGGTTAATTCTTATTCTTTTCATTTGAATTGTGTTTGTTGCATACACCATCATATTTTTGAAAAGCATGGGGGCCTAAATCTATAGAACTACATCAGGTTTGCATCACAATTAACCCTACTATTGATTGCTTTGTTATTAGTGATGTTGTGAAGAAGGAAGGATGATTTTCCAGTTAGAAGGAAAATAACTACATGCTACTGAAATTTAGAAGAAAACTACTATCTCCTTTTACTTCAACACATCGTTGCAGTTAGGATTTAAGGTTTTGCTTAAAGCTGCATAGTGTAACAATTGTTTTTGCATGGGCTATATTATATCATTCCAATCTGTTTTCATACTTATTAATATTTTTCAGTCTTAGTTGTGTTTGTATTTCGTCTTCATATATTTTTCATTTAAACGCCATAGTTTTGTAACTTCAACCAATTTTTCTAGACCATGAATGCAGCTACTTGACATGATCTAGATTAATTCAATAAGCAGTGTTACTTTAAATTGTGATTAAGCATTGCTTTTAATATTTGGAACCCATTGTTGAACCACTGGCTATTTCAGTCTCTGGTATCATAGCTGCTGAAAGTGGATATCCTAGCTCGCAAGATTAAATACGATTATAGTAGTTCATACTTCAGTTTTATAGCTTTATTATTTACACATTCTTCTTCCCAAGTCGATTGTCATTGAAACTCGCTATTCCTCATACAACAACTCTGTTAAACAAGTACAATCAGTTCCTGATGTTTTCGAAAATCTTTGTTGCAGATAAAGTTGGGAACGGTCGATCAAGCTGAAGCTCAGATAGAATGGGTCATTAGACCTTACATGAACACAACTAAAAAGCGGAAATTTTTCAGTAATTGATGCAAACATGGTAGTGTTACAGTGTTTGTACAGATAAACCATATTATAAATTTTGATCTCGCATTTCATTGACTGTAATCCGAGATGTGTTTATTAGCCTATCTCTAATTGGAGTGCTACCAAGAATTATTAACTGAAATTTTATTGTTAGTCCTAAATGATTTAAAAGTGGAAAAACTTGTTTAAAATTATTAAATAAATCTCATCATGTTTTAATCAATTACTGTAAAATTTATAATAAGATATTCAATTGTAAAATTTATAATAAAATATTTAATTTTATTTTTAAACAATTCTAATTAAAAGCTCCTGCAAATTTTTTTAATGAAATTTATGTAACACTTTGTCATAGCAAAATTATAAGCAAATGAAACTGAAAATGTACTGCTTCCTTTTGTGTGAAATCTATTTTTTACAATTTATTTTTTATACGTCCAAGTTTGGTATTTCAAGTTGGGAGTTGAATTTATTATTTGATAATCGGAGAGTCTTCCAAGTTGGATTTTCCATTTTACCGATATTTTTTCAGTTTAAAATTTATCTTTTATTATTACCTACAATTTAGTCAATACATCCCGGGATTTTTCATCTCATAAGTATGTTTTGTCAGAGATAGCCAACTTTTTAGGTAAATTTTAATAGAATTTTGGTAAAAATAATGAGTAATGAAATTTGTCGATCTTATGAAGAGACTTATGTAGGTTGGCAACAGTTATGATTAGACTATAGCATCTAGAGCATAATAAAGAAGATTTAGAGTTTTACAATTAACCATATATCTTAAATTTGGAATGTATTGAGCCTAATAATGTACTGTTTTCTCTCTTTTATCCCATCAGACCCTTTGCCTGTTGAAAACCCTTTGTTTCACCTGCCTGGATTGCCCAAACAATCCTTCCAGACAGTGAAGGGGCCATTGATGGCCACATTCGCCAAGTTGGACTCACTTTCCATCTCCTCAAGGATGTTCCCGGACTCATCTCAAAGAACATCGAGAAGGCCTTGCTTGAAGGCTTCCAACCCTTGGGAATCTCTGATTACATCTCTATCTTCTGGATTGCACACTCTGGTGGACTAGCAATTCTAGACTAAGTAGAGGGGATCCAAGGTTTTCAACGGGTTTATCCACTGCCACAGAATAACAAACGTTTCCCTATGTCTCTGGCTACCAATTGCAACATGGAATTACCACGTACCCACAGGTAAAGGTGGTAAACACTCGTTAAAATTCGATATAATTTAATAATGTATAAGTCACTATCAAAACTGGTAAAAAACTCCTTTCCCTGTGTCTCTGGCTACCAATTGCACCATGGAATTACCACGTACCAGTAAAGGTGGTAAACACTCATTAAAATTCGATATAATTAATAATGTATAAGTCATTATCAAAACTGGTAAAAAACTATTGAACAAAAATAACAGTCTAATACAATGACAAAACACAGTGCAACAATTAGGAAGAAAAAAAAAACTGAATGAGAAAATAATTTTAGCACTCTAGAAGACAAGTTCATGAGGCTTCATCCCTGCCTTCAAAGAAAACCTAGCACCCAAGTACGATTTCAGGTCTGGAACACTCTCAATGGCCTTCAACAAAGCAGAGTCCACTGTTTTCTGATCATCTTTCTTATCTTGGGGGAGCACTTTTTTCTCCTAGAATGGGAAAATTATAATAGAAATCAGAAGCAACTCAAAATAATAAGGGAAACGTTAAACCAAAGTTGTTAAACCAACCTCCTTCTCTGCCTCAAAGAACTCGCCTTCTCCCTTTGTTTTCTTCTTCTTGGCATCCTTAGAGAAGTACTTGTCATCAAATTTATCAACATTAACATCAGAGACGTTCACTTTTGTTGAGGTACCAATGACATATGCTTGGTTCACCCTTCTTAGAGGAACACCATTGATCTTAAAGGGACCTGAAGCAGAAAAGACGTCAAGTTGAAATTAATCTAATTAAATGTCCAACTCTCAGAGCATAAACTAAATCGTGTAAATAGTATATCTATGAAGGTCCAGAATCAGAACAACTCTCTCACTCAACCCCCACCCACCCCTACCCCAGGTTGGTTTGAAGTTTAACTTAAGCGTATTTTACACATACAGGCTTCAACCGCAACCTTTAAAAGGTTATTATTCCAAAAAAATGTCATGTTGCAATTAGAAGGTTATTATTCCAAAGAAATGTCAAATTGACTTTCTTATCCTTTTCTGTACCCGTTAAATAAAATACAACCATCATTTGAAAATATTTAATTGTTCTTATAAAATCTTAAATGCAATGTGGTTATGCAATTAGATTAAAATGAATGTTAACTGCAGAACCGATTCAGCGAAAAGAACATAACTGAGATACACAACAATTAGCTCATAAAGTTATACATAGCATGCATAAACGCAAGTTATTAGTTATTTCAATGTGGAAAACATGCTTCCTTTTTCATTCACACAAGGATCTACAATGAAAAACACAAAACAGATTGCATTAATTGTATATACCACACACCTGTTACCAGAAGCAATCCAGACGGAAGCTGCTTAAGGAAAACAACCCTCTTTCCCTTAAACCTCCCTGCAAGAAGGATCAGAACGGTTCCTGGTGTAACGCTAGCCCTGAATATCAAAGCAGAACAAATACAAGGCCCCAATTAAATGAAACATGGCGCATGAATTAAATCCTCGAGCATGGATCTTTTTTCTTGGACAACAGTTCATTTAATCATTCAACCAAAAGAGCCACAAAATACTATTTTTCCCATATATTTCACACACGAAACCACCAAATCACAAGGTTTTGTTTAACATTTCGAACCATGGAACCATTAGCTAACAAATTAAAACACTAAAATACAGAAACACACATGCATCTCATTCCATCCCAAGCCTGAAAACATGAGACCAAAAAACCCACCTTTTGCTCCGCAATATATGTCAACAATAAAACCAACGAAACATAAAACACCACCGTACATAACAAATCAAACCACCAATAACACACAATGAGAAGAAAGCACCTTAGTTTAGCAGGCTTCGGCCTGTGCTTGTTGACGAGGGGCTTCCTGACATCGTCAGCCGGGTAAAACTTAGGAGACTTCTGGGCTGGGACCTCGGGCTTGGGCTTGGGGTCGTGACGAGGGAAAACGCCACCGTTTTTCGCCTTAATGGCCCAGATGCCCCTCTTGTGGTACATCTGCGACCTGGAGTACTTCCCTATGCCCCTAATCAGTTCAGGGTTCCTCGTCCCGGTTCTCGGCTTCTTCGGCGCCATTGCTTCTCTTCTCTTTCACCTTCTTCTTCTACTTCTTCTGCGTACTCTGAGGCTGCTGATGCAAAACCCTAACACTGGATTATATATACGTCTTAATGGGCTGGACTTTTCTTTCGGGTGCACCATTTCCATCTTAATGGGCTGGTCTCTCTAAACCTATATTTTCTTTTTTGGCATATATCATACGTTGTACGTTACTTCACTAATAATAATATTTTAAAACTCGTGTAATTTACGATATAATTTAAATTATATACTTTTTATATTTGAATTTATTTAGTATTTATAGAAATATGTAAATAAATTTTATTCTAAAAACTGAAATAAAAATATATAAAGAAATATGTTTTCTTAAATTACTTAGGAATATATTTAACATAATTACATTAGAATGAAAAATATTTTAAATATTAAGATTATGTAAATAATTTATATCATAAAATTTAAATACAATAATATTCATAGGAATATATTTAACATAATTACTGAAAAATATTTTAAATATTAAGATTCTGTAAATAATTTATATCATAAAATTTAAATACAATAATATTCATAGCCTATAATGACATTAAAATTAAAAAATAATACATAAATATTTTTCATCCTACCTAATATTCATGTAAAAGATTATATTTATAATTTTTTTCAACATAACTAATATCATTACTCAAAATATTTGAACATTATAACATTTAGAGACGTAAAACAGGATTTTCCCATTCGGTGACATTTTAGTTACCTTAAAAAAAACTGTATTTTTAGATTTAAATCGTATTAATTATATTAATTTTATTTATAAATATATTATTATTATTTAAAGATATGATTATTAATTTAGAAAATAATTTAAAAAAATCATGTCCGACCATGTTCAAACCTAGTAAAATCAGTGGTTAAACGAATTAAATAGAAAATAATGCAATACAATTTACATTATAATTTTTTATTTAATATTATCCTTTTACGAGTTTTTAAATCAACACAAATTTAACAATTCTAATTATATCTATATGTTTTTTTAGGTTTCTATCCTTCTGGACTACTAAATAACTACGAACAATTATTAAATAAGAAGAAAATTAAAACAAAGTTGAGATCAATCTAAATATCTAGATTTTTGTTTTTTGAAAAGTATTCCTTAAGTGCAAATAAAATGTCTTAAAAATATATGATATCAAAATGATATTTGTTAATATCAATGTTAAAATTTCTTAAAAAATTAAGATTACCAATTAATTTTATTTAAAAATAAATAATTTCAATTCATATTATCATCCAATGAATCCATTACTGGAAGAAATGAATTTGTTTTAGAAACTCCCCGTGCATGAATCTATAATGGTGGCTTTTACATCTCTGAATCAACATCTAATCTTCTCTTTTTGTGGGGATCAGTGAATTGAATAAGAATATCCTCCGTGCTGCTCCTCTGTTTGAGCGCATAGATTCCATTTTCTATGAAGACCGAGATCACATGTTTGTCTTTTTTATTGAATCTCTGCTTGACTAAGTATGTAATCTCAACATGGTTCCATTCATTTTCTGACACAAATCTGTCTAGATAATCTGCAAAAAATATCTGTTGCAGATCGAAAAGATAAGTGTGATCAGGGAGCATACATAAATAGGGATCATCCTCCTCATCAAGTGAACATTCAATGCCATTGATGACCATGATAGGTCCAACAATTTCAACATATTTCAGATGAGTTGGTCCAATAGTAATACAAAGAGCAATTGCAGGGAATTTGTTGCCAACCCAGAACGAATAAGATGGTCCCCGACTGTGGTGCTCGAACCATTCTGGAAACATGGCTCCTGAAAACTGAAACATGGTGTTTCCAGCCTCATGCAGTTTCTGCAAGTAAAAAATTATTCATACGTTTAGCAACGTTACGTACACTATCATCATCAAATCAAATACATAATAAAAGTAAAACAAGACAAAACCTGATTCAGTAAAGTGCTTCTGCATGAAGAAGTGAAGGATTTACATTCTCTTGCGGAAAAATATTGTATGTTTGGTGGAATCGCTCTAATCTCTCGAAGACTATGACAGTAATCTAAAGTAAGTTTACGCAAAAAATGACAATTGTTGATGCATTCTGGAAGAATTGTGAAAGTATTCCTTGACAGATCCAGGTCTTTTACATTGGCAAACCATACAAGAGCTATTTGGACAAATTCATCTGAGAGTTTGCAGCCTGAGAGACGAATACAATCTACATTTGAAGACACCATTGAGCTTACTTTCTCTTCACCCTCAACCTGTTTTGGAAATAGCCACCCTTTCGATTCCCAAGCAATAATCTGAGCCAATTTTGGCATCATGACAATGCTACTTGGTAACCTTAACCTTCCACAGAAACGCAACTCTAATGTTTGAAGCCCAGTGAGATTTTGAAATGAAAATGGCAACTCTTTTATGTCACAGGCCTCCAACACAAGTTCTGTTATTTTTTCCATTTTTCCCAATATTTCTGGGAAGCTCTCAAGACTGTAACAATATGAAAGTTCAAGATTTTCCAGAGAATTCAATTTGAGTGGGGGAAAACTTCTAAGCTTGCTGCAACCAACAGCGTTTAAGGAGTTAAGCTTACTTAGGTACCCAATGGAGTCATGGATTGTAATTAAACTCTTGCAATTCTTAAATGAAATTTTTTCTAAATTTGGCAGCCCCGATACGTCAGGTAACTGTGTCAAACCTTCACATTCGTCAAAATTCAGAAGAGTCATATTCATGAACTTCTGCAGCTAGCCAACAAAGAAACAAAAATTAATAACTTAGATAGGAATTAATTAATATAATATTAGTGTTGGAAAATGAACCGTTCATACTTGCCTTTGATAACTCAGCCAATTCGAGTGACCCAAAACAACTTTTAGGTAATTTGCACATGGCAAGTTTCTTTGAACGAAAATCTGGTGGTAAACCTTGTGAAGGATATTTCCACCATTCCAGTACTCTTAGACAATTTGGAAGATATTTTGGACCTTCGGAAAAATTACCATTTTTAATAATTAGTGTTTTTAGGTTTTTCATCTTCTTGAAAGCCTTTCTATTCCATTCTACTGTTTCTTCTTTGTCAAGTAAGGAGGAATTCAAACATATGATTTCAATTTCTCCAGTTCCCTGTTGATAGAAAGGGCACCAATCAAGATAATGTAAATATATGTTTGTCTTCTATACAAATACATAGCTAAATTTAAATATTATATAATAATAAAATAAAGATAAGTCAAGATAAGAAGCAAAACCATTCATGATTCTTACCGAGTTGTCTTCCAAAACTTGAATTATATCTTCTGGTGACCATAATCTACTGCGCTTCCCTGGCTCTTTTGGTGATTTCTGTCTGACAATTTCTTTACCCATGTCCTCTATCAAGTCATGCAACGTAACTGTAGAATTCCAAGTATATTTTATGAGAGATTTTTCAACCAACACCCCAATGTGATATTTCATGCAAGCACCATAATGAGCACGGAGTATATCTTCCACCTCTGCCAATGCAAATCCTTTGAAACAACAAGCAATGTCAAGAAAAACACTCTTCTCTTCTTCATCTAAAGCATCAAAACTTATTTTAAGCATCTCCAGGATTTGATTGTTAGGAATTTTTTCATACTGATTGATGGCAGATTCCCACTCTTGTATACTTTTTCTAAACAACTTCGAACCTATTACTTCCAAAGCCAATGGATGGCCAGAAGCATAAGTTAGTACACGATCCATAACATTCACATAACCTGTATCAACTTTTTCTGTTTTAAAACCTTTCCAACTAAGCAGTCGAAGAGCATCCTTCTTTTTCAACTTTTTCACTTTATATGTTTTTTCAACCAAGTGAGATGACAACAATTGTTTGTCCCTAGTTGTGATGATGACCCTACTGCCGGGACCAAACCAATCAGGGTTTCCAGCAATTGCCTGCAACTGCTCGTGCTTGTCGACATCATCTATAATCAAAAGAATCTTCTTCTGCCGTAGTCTATGTTGCATCATTGAAATTCCTTGTTTCACACTAGCTATGTTGATATTCTTTTCTCCAACCATTTGAGAAAGAATGATGCTCTGGAGATGTTGTAGCCCGTGTTTGTTTGAGTTTTCTCTCACATTTTCAAGGAAACACAGACCTTCAAAATGGTCACCAATGGAATTATAAACTTCAACAGCAAGTGTAGTTTTACCAATTCCACCGAGTCCATGGATCCCCACCATGTGGACAACATCATTAGATCCTACATCTAGAAGCAACTTTACTTCTCGCACTCGTGACTCTAGTCCAACTGGATAATCCGCAACATGTAAAGGAGCACGGTTAATCTTTTTAGAGACCAATTCAACTATCCCCTTGATGAATTCGTATTCATATTCGTCCCTGTTCAATCACAGAAATTTTGCGTAAAGTCAGATTATATATAGTTTTTAATAAAAGGGTATGATGCATATAAAGTAAAACATATGTAAAGCAAATCCAAAGTCGATGCGAGAGATAAAAACTAAACCAAGCAGAAAACAGGAATATTTATAGAGAAATCGTAATTTATAAATTAGGTAAAGTGTATTGCCATACAAAATGTGTATTACCATACAAATTGTGTATTATTCTCAAGACTGTGATTTCAAGGTTAATAAATATCTTGATTTCTTTAAATTTTAACAAAATAAATCATTTTCTAGATTATTTATGAGTGAGAATTAATTAATGAAGTTAAAAGAAAAACTAAAAGATTGCTACCCATGTTTGAAATGATATCCAGATAAGTCAGCAGCTTCACGTAGAGCAATCTTCCATTTCTCGAGCTTCTCCATGTTAAGCTCAAAATCCTGACTCTTAGCTTTGAACCTTTTTTCATGTGCAGCCAATGCTTCTCCAAAGCTACTTGTGTGGTGCCGCACGTGGGAAGGAACGACGTTGTAGAAGACTGGCAAAACCAACAAACCTTTTCTCTTGGCGCAGTGAAGAATGTAGGCGAGCTCGTTCAAGCAGAATGAGGAAGACGCGTAGTTTTGAGAGAGGACGGTGATGAAAATTCTGGATTCTTCAATTGCCTTCTCAAGTGCAGATGTGATTTCGTCACCTTTGCGGAGCTCCTCGTCGTCGATGAAGGTGTGAATTCCGCGGTCACGAAGGGCATTGTAGAGATTGCCAGTAAAACTGTAACGAGTATCTTCTCCTCTGAAGCTGAGAAACACATCGTAGACGAAGGAAGATGAGAATGATGGCGCGGCCATCAGAAGAACTGAACACAAACAAAGCTTGCGTTGCGATGAGCACAAATGCTGAGTTTCGAAATATCTATGACAGTAGCAGCGGAAAGACGAATCAGTGGTTCTAAACGAAGTCAAGTCAACAAAAAAATTATGAATTGATGTATAACTTTTACATCAATTAAAACCATTCTTTATACTTTTATATAATAAATATCTACAATATCTTTATACAAATTTATTTTATATAAATAAATATTAAATTTATTATGTTTTTAGGTTTTGAACTTTTCTTGTTATAGAATGACAAAAATAACCAGGTTTTTAGTCTTTAGAATTTTAGTTTTTATTATTAAATATCATTATTAAGCGATAATATGACTTTTGAGTCATGTGCATTCTTATTAACTAAAATCGAAAAGCTTTTGAATTTATATGTTTTGTTTTGAATAGGAATATTGAATGAGACATTGATTTTATGATAGCATATAGCGTATATTTTTAGTATTTCATCCGAAGTAACTGTGATAACAACCAAATATTCAATATATCACGTATAAAGTTATATACATTTGAGAAAATTAGGAAAAATGTTAACATTGAAACTAAATTATAATATTTTCAAATTTTGATTACCTTAAAATAGTTATTTTCATAGTATATTTTGAAAAATAAATTTATATTTAATTATGTATAAAAAACGTATATAATATTTAACAAATATTTAATATAAAATTATTTTTATTAGTAGTACGATCACATTATAAAATTTAATAAACTTATGTATAAATTTGTTTAATGAATAATATCTTAAATTATTCATTATTTAAGTATGAATCTTACATTATTTAGGAGTCGAAATCAATTATAGTTTAAATACACTTTCATTCATTAATCCATTAAAACACATTTTAAAGACAAAATGATAATAACTCTAAAATAAATAATACCTCGAACATGAGAATTGATCTTAAAAATATTGTCATAAAAGACATGAGATCGAGATACTCTCGTTCCTATATAAAACATTAGTTCCTACTGTGAGGCTAAGACTAAAGTCTAACTTCATTCATATCCTTTAATCCTCGATCGAGAGACTTATGCTCATGAATTTTACATCGTTCTCTTAACCCACCGTGATGCTTATGAGATTAGGACACTCTCGTTCCTAGATGAAATAGTCATATTATTCAAATATAGAATCACACACACCATTCTCTACTCTGTGACACAATTCTCACTAAGAGAAATTCAAGTCAAGACAATTCTCTCTTCTCTATAACATATCGCTTGAGTGAATGAGTCAATGTATAACTAAGTTTGTTTAGACACCTTATATATCACTTAAGTGAGAATTCATTGCTTGAATGAACTACTACTATCTTAGACTACATTTTCTATTGTTTTATCTTCACTCAAACGACACATGTCTTGTTTGAACGAAAATGAAACTAAACAAGTAAATTTGCTCAATTTTGTATATTTTCTCATCTCAATTCCCAATAATATCATACTATGCATAACCACCCATTATGACATTAAAAAAACTCAACGCATGTATTTTTATTTGAATTATGACACATGTTCATCAAATTACATCTTTAATTTAAACATGTTGTAATTTGAATAATTAACTTTTCTTACTTAAATGTCCTTAAATCTTAACTTTTTTTTTTAAGTAATTATACAGCCCAAAATCAATATGCCTACTCCAAAATTTATACAACTTTTCACATAATAATAGTAATAAACATTACTAACTAATTTCTCCTTCTTGACTTAAAAATAATGTAGAAAAGAAAATTACTTATCGACTTAAAAATCTAATCGGACATATTTACTTCTTATCACTTCAACTTCTTTCACTTTATGATATTAAGTTTAAAAAAACCTACAAAATTCTATTATAACAAAATATCAATCACTAATGCAAATATTGAAAATGATGACGTCTTTCGACAATAGTCATTATGAAGACGTCGTCAAAGGCAATGTAGTGACATTTAAAAAAATAAAAACAATTATATAACGACAGTTATTTAATATCTGTCATCATCATATAGAACATACGAGAACACATATTAAATAACCGTCATTGAATGTGTAACGAGACCAACCATTTGACGATGATTATCTAATAATCGTCGTCGTATGAGACATATGACTACGAGTATTAAATAACCATCGTCAAATGTGTGTCAAGGTCAATCACTCGACGACGATTATCTAATAATTATTATCGTATCGAACATACGACAACGAATATCACTAATAATCATCGTCGTATATTTATTATACTCCTTCCTACTCACCAACCTCACTCACTTTCGTTGCCTCCTCCTTTGTTCCTCGCGCCTCCTCCTCTATCCATTTCGTCTTGTTTTCTCACTCTCATTTGTGCCATGTACCTCTGGTTCGCTCCCTGCACCTCCCCGCTCCCTCTATGTCTCACCCTGCCCTCCACGTTGATGCACCTTCGTGTCGCGCCTGCACCTCTATGAATCCTTTGTGTCGTGCCACACCTCCTTCGTGTCTCCTTCGCTTGGCGTGTGGCTCGCTCCCTCTCACTGGTCATGCTCCTAAGTGGTTAACATTGATTGGTGGTGTTCTGTGACACAATGTATTGTTCCTCTTTAGTAAATAACTATTTTGTCTTGATTAATGTATGGATTGATTTAGGATTAACATTATGAAGATTGATAGTGATATGAAATATTTTTAAACGAATTTGTGTTGCATACAGGGATGTTTGATCCCCGAAAAATTATATTATTAACTGAATTATGTAGTTGTGTATATATTACAAAATCTAGAAATGGATAAAAGTTGGATTAATTGTGCTCGCATAACTGATGTGTACGAGAAAGGAGTGGAACAATTTTTATTATTTGCACAACAAAACACTTCGACTAGTTCTACTTGAGGAAGATTTAGGTGTCTTTATGTTAATTGTCTTAATATAAGATTATTAAGTGTTGAGCAAATTAGGGAGCACCTTTTATGTGACGGTTTTCTTAAAAATTACACAATTTGGACATGACATGGTGAACTATTAGATTTGTCATCTCTAAATGAATTTGATCATGATTTAGTTTATTCAACCATGGATGATCGACTAGAGGACATAATTTCACACGATTATCAACAGTTTTAAGATGGGTAAACTTGAAGGCAGTGAACAGGTGGACTGATAAAAGTTTCACTGAATTATTTCAATTGTTGAAGGAAATGTTTCCAAAAGTAAATACACTACCCAATCGTAATTATGAGGCAAAAAAAATATTTTGTTCAACGGGTATGAAGTATAAAAAGATACATGCATGTCCCAATGATTGCATTTTGTATAGAAATGAGTTTGAAAAGTTGAAATTATGTCCAATTTATGGGTTATCTCATTACAAAGTGAAGGATAATAATCAAGACAATAGTGAGAACATTACTATTAAAGGACCCCCTACCAACTCTATTTTGTATCTTCCAATAATTCCAAGATTTAAGAGTTTGTTTACGAATCCTAAAGACGTTAAAAACATTAGATGACATGTAAATGGGAGGACATTATGGATTAAAGGACCCCCTACCAACTCTGATCTTTTCTTATTTCCTAAGCTCCTGGTGTATCTTCGTACCATCCACACACATATCTCGCCACTGAGTGGCACCACCTACTCTTTAACAACAATATATTTGGTAGGAACAAACTCTACAACATACAGACCATATCACTATAGACATAATACCCTACTTTTAGATGACCAACATCTCTAACTTAGACTCACCACATAGAACAAACATCCTCTAGACATGATTTCCACTAACTACCATGATTATGAATGCATTATCTATTCATAACGTTTCTTTATACCATTCTTATTAAGTTTTATTTATTTTTCATCAATTTCAAAATGACAGAGTCTCCTTTGTAATTTGGACGTTTCCCAATTTAAAAATACATTCAAATCAAATTCATATAACACATTTTCTTACATCAAACAAGAACAATATAAATTTGTCGAGGGTCAGACACTCTCGGACTCAACACACATTGTGATCCATCAATTTAAACTCTTGTTATTCTAATCTTGTATCCCAAAATATCTCATTACACTATCATTCTCACATCATACATACTCATAAAATAAATAATAGGTCCAGAACTAAAGTTTTATTTACACTTCTTTAGGAAGAAAAGTCTATCATAATCATTAGAAAAGTGTAACTTTGGAAAAATTCTTTGTCATCTAAACTAACTCCAAATTCTGTGAGATTTTCTAGTCCAAAATACATATATTCTAGGATTATAATAAAAATTATAACTCAAAATTTAAATATTTCTAAGTCATTCAAAACTTTCCTCCCTTTTCATACGTTTTGAAGATTCCACTATCAAGGCATTACTCAAAGATATATTTTTATAAAATAAAATAATGGTCATAAAATTATGAAAATAAATATACTTAACATATACCTACAATCACAATTATGATAAAAATTTCATCTCAAAAAAACTTCAATTTCGATTTTATATGCTTTTTCAAAGTTGCTGAGCGGACATAGCAATTTTGTTTCACCTAACTCAAAACCTATTTACTTCCAAGATTTTTCATCGAAAATCAACTTGTTAGAAAATTTTGAAATAAATCACACATGAACTAAACATATAAAGAAACATGTAATCAAAATTTCAGAATTAAATACCAAGTAAATATTTTTACATAATTTCCCAAATATTCTATTCACATGCAGATTTTTTCTTGCAACATCTCTCAACACATATTTCATCATCTTCCTCTAGAAAAATCCAATTTAAGTGATTTTTATGGCTAACTCTAGGTTTTAGCATCCAAGGAATCTATTTCTAAACTCTAAAATATGAAAGGAGCATTGTAGAGTATCCTAATATACTAGAACAACCATACGAAATTTTTATAAAATATTCTAATTTGGTTCCAATTCATATAAAAGTGAGATAAATGGTGGTTTAGCCTAGGATTGATGACAAGAAGACTCTCCTTACCTCAAATGAAACTTTCAAACAAGAAAATGGAGATCATTAATTCAAGAAAGGGTTTGTCTCCTATAAGCATCAAAATAATCATATACTTGAGATTTAGAAGATTTTAGGAGATAATGTTGAAATTCAATGCTTTAATTTTATGAATCTTACTCTTAATTGCAAAAAGGATGAACAAAGATGGTGTAGGCAAGCAAAACCAAACTTTTTCTTCTTCTCCCATGCTCCGAAATTGGCTTTCGTAAGTGAGAAAGAAATGAGTCTTTCTCATTTCTTAAATTATACTATTTGGCTTCCTTTCTTAAATTGCCCTTACTTAAAATTGCAATTCTCAATTGAATCATTTCCTAAATTACCCATACTTAAAATTGTAATTGTCATTTGAATCATTTCCTAAATTACCCTTACTTAAAATTGCAATTTTCAATTGAATTGTTTCCTCAATAGGAAATTATATTACTAATTTTTGCTTAATCATATTACTCTTATTATTATTATTATTATTATTATTATTATTATTACTTCATTTTAAACTCAATTCTAAATTTATCTATTTCACTCTATTACAATTTCATGATATATATATATATCATTTATTAATGTTCTTAAAAATTATCAAGTCTTAAAATAACTCATAATACCATTTTATTAAAGTTAATGACAAAATATTTCATTATATTAATGAAATAATTTTTTTGGAAATACTGGATGTTACACTTATAATTTGTATTATACTGGATTATATATATATATATATATATATATATATATATATATATATATATATATATATATATATAAAAGAAAATAAGAAAAAACTTAAAATAGATTTCACTTAAAAAAAATCAAATATACAACAATGATTAATACCAATATACATTTTTGACATAACACTTGAATTTGTATTATACTGGATTTATATATATATATATATATATATATATATATATATATATATATAAAAGAAAATAAGAAAAAACTTAAAATAGATTTCACTTAAAAAAAAATCAAATATACAACAATGATTAATACCAATATACATTTTTGACATAAGACTTTAATGAAAGGTACAACAATAAACATTGTTATATTATATAAGATACAATGACAATTCTATCAATGACAAATTCTTAATCGACATAATAAATTACATTTAATCATTATTAATGACATTACTACAAAATATTTAAAAAACTATTAATCTCCACGTTCTATTTATAAAATTTTCAATGAAGCAAATATATTTTTATATTCACAAAAACATCAAAGTTACACAAAATGTTCAGTAATAATCATGGGTTTGATTTTTTTTTACTTATTTAATTTATAATTGATATATTATGAAATGCTGCAAACGATTTGTTCAATAAGATATTTTTTTTAAATATTATAATGAGATAGTTTTAATTTAATATATGTTTTTTAAAATGTAAAATTCCAGGTATTATGATTATTTATTGAAAATTACATTTAACAATTAATTAATTAGCCATTTTATTCATAAAAAACACCATCTTCTCTTCCAAATCCTTCCTCTCACCCTAAATTTCATTACTCGAGGTAAAAGAAGAATAAGGTGTCTTTGTTTTTCTTAATCTCAATAGTTTTATTTGAATAGTTATGTTAAACTTCATTTTTATTTACTGTTTATTTTTGTTTAAAGTTGCTTACTTTAATAGTGATTATGTAGTTAGTTATTATGCTACTGTTATCTATTATTCATGTTCAACTTTTAATATTGTTATATTTCTTTATTATTATGCCCCAATTTTTGTTTCTTAAAATCTTGACTATGTTGTTTAATTCTTTATTTAACCGTTAGTTACTTTATTTTGCTATTTAAATTTTGGTCTTTGTAGTTTTCTCTTTTTAATTTTAATATTTTAGAATTTTTATTTATTTATTCATTATTGTTTTCTATAACCATATTTTCAAAGTTAAAGTCATTGACTGATTTTCTTTATCTACGAAGGGCCATGGCCATTTAATTATTATTTTTTTATTATTTTAGTCTGGTCATTAAAATATTTATAATTTTAATTATTTTTTTATTTTTTAATAGATATTAAATAAATCATTAATATACATTGAATATGTCTTTTTATATTTTTACCTTTTCATATTTTTTAAATATTTATTAATAAAATGTTATTGGACTGCAACATATACTTATCTATGCTTCTTCCATTAAGAAAATGAGAACGAAATTTATAAACTAGAATATTTAAGCAATGAAAAAATATTACACAAAGAAAAAAATCAGTTAGAATCGTGAAAATTTTGTATCCTTCCATTAAAACATTGTATTAACCATTGAGTGTAATCAATTATTTTTTATTTTTTAAAATAAAAATTTAATATTAAAATATCATAATTATTTAATAAAAATATATCAATGAAATTATTTTAAATAATTGAATTTATCAAATATAATATAAAGTTTTAGTTTTATATATTAAAAGTATGAAAGTAGTAAACTACACGAAAATAAACATAATTTGAATTAATTATAAATTATTATATATAAAATTATAGTTATATATATATTTATATAATGTGTATTGTATGCAAAATATATATTATTATTACTATATAAGCATACTTCTCTATTTATAATAAAATATATTTTTCAAAATTTGATTACACACGTAATTATTACATAGTTTTATACTTATTATTAAATCAAATACTTTTCAAATCACAATATTATCGGAGTATGACCCGACCCGATAAAAATGGATGTCCAACACCAACACTATTTAGATAACGAGATAAACCTCTGACTCTGTCAATCAAAACCTGAACTTGTTGTTCAGTTGTAATATCCTCTTCACTCTCACCTGTCACACACCACCACCACCACAACAACAATGGCTTCTCTTCATTCTTCTCTTTTGTTGCCGCCGAATCTGTTTTCCCTCACTACCCCATCAAGTTCCCCTAGGCACATTCTCTTGAACCTGAGACCCTCCACGACTCACTTGCGACCCCTTCTCACTACACGCCGCCGTTTTGGGAAACCCTTGGCGGTGGCTGAGCAGGCCACTGCGGCGGAGGCCGAGAGGAGGCTCTACGTAGGCAACATTCCCCGCACTGTCAACAACGATGAGCTCGCCAATATTGTTCAAGAACATGGTGCTGTTGAGAAAGCTGAGGTTTTTAGATTTTCACCACTTTTAAAGTTGTCGATTTCTTATTTTTTTCTGACACTGTTTTTCCTGTGTTGGGTTGTGTTGGATTAACAACGTGTTTGAATTAATTACTCCATAATCAAATATTGAAAAGAAAAAAAAGTGGAATTAAATTTGGCATAAGCTAAATTTAGCTTATACCGAAGTTTTTTTACATTAGCTTATGCTCAAAATAAAATATTGGAGAAACTACACGAGAGTTTATACAAATTAGCTTATGCATAAGCAAATTTTATACAGGTGTAAATTTATTTATTTTTTTCTTCATAATTTTCTTTTCTATAAGTTCTTATATACTCAACTTTTATGGAGGAACCCAATGGGTGTGGTTTTTGGGGAGGACCCGAGTAATTTCATGATGGGTCCAAAAGACTGAAACTTGTAGGAATATATCAATATGAAAAGTTAACACAAAAAAACACGCACTAATATTAGAATAGGTTTGTGAATTTTTCCACTGTACATCCAATTTTGGTGCGGGTTACAAAAAGTTGAGGAAATTGGTGTCTTTGCTTTTTAAAATAAATCTAAAAACAGGAGCTTTTCAAGTTGATTCTTCTTGAAATTTAGCAGCTATATATGTGTGCAGTGTGTATTATCTCTACCATCCTGCTTCTGTAGAAAATAAAGGAAGTTTTTCTGTTTTAAGAATACTGTTTTAACCTTTGTTTGTAAGGCAAGTTGCATAAGGAAGAAAGTTAAATGTAGCCAGAATTGCCAGTCCTGTTTTCTCTCGTTGTTAATTGTCACATTAATACGAAGATAGCATAATTTTGATTATATAAGCATTAATATGTATAATCATGAGTAAGCTCCTTAATTTCTCAAGAATAACATAAAAGGTAAAAGAGATGTGTATAGTAGTACTAGACTACTAGTTACTCACTTTGAATTAAAATGTTGAAACCTCACTCAAGCTTACTTCTTTGGTATGCTCAACTGCTCAATGGAATGATTGTAGATTTGGTAACATGAATTGAACACTTTATTGAAGGACTTGCAATATGCCAATATTCGTGGCATTGAAAATACACTAAATACTGTAGTGTATTGACTATTGCATTTTGTATATGCTAAAGCAGGTAACAACTTTATTTGTTTGGTCTGTCATAATATATGGGAATCCATCACCTGGGTACCAAATAAGATATTATTGATTAGGATTAATGTTAACATTTCTTAATGCATGGCTCATAGGTTATGTATGATAAATACTCTGGAAGGAGTCGCCGCTTTGCATTTGTTACGATGAAAACTGTGGAGGATGCAAATGCTGTGATTGAGAAACTTAATGGCACTGTAAGTTTCACTGCAGAATTTGCAGGAACCTGTAGAAAGAGTGTCAATGTTCATTCAGCCGTTTAGAATTTATATCTCTTTAAGGACTTGGGAAATTCATGTTTCCTATGGCAGGAACTTGGAGGGCGTGAGATCAAAGTAAATGTTACTGAAAAACCTTTATCAACATCAGATTTTCCTTTACTCCAAGCTGAGGAATCTCAATTTGTTGACAGTCCCCACAAGGTGTATGTGGGAAATCTAGCCAAGACAGTGACAACTGATACTCTTAAGAAGTTTTTCTCTGAGAAGGGAAAAGTTTTGAGTGCCAAGGTTTCAAGGGTCCCTGGTACCTCAAAATCCAGTGGGTATGGTTTTGTTACTTTTTCATCAGAAGAGGATGTAGAAGCTGCAATCTCGTCTTTCAACAATTCTGTAAGTTGTTTACTTCTCTTGTTCATTTGCAAGCTGAGGCATCCAAATATACTTCAAATACATGGCACCTAGAGGATGCATTCCCATGATAGAGACCCCCTATTTGAAAAACATACTTCTAAAATTCGACACCCAAACTTACTCTTAGGGGAGGGAGATCTAGGACTCTTTAAATTTCTCAGCTAGAGAGATCTTGATTATTTTAGTTCCTGTAAACTTTGATTGTGTAAAATTTCTGCTTATCCGAGTTTTGACTTTGAATGATGTTTTGATCTGAAAGTTATAGATTGACAATGAGACTTTTAATTAGTAATTAGTTTAGTTATATATGTTACTCTGAAAGTGATTTGATGGCTTGTTGAATGCAGTCTTTAGAAGGACAAAAAATCCGAGTGAACAAGGCATAGAGAATTAGCAATGTTGCAGAGCATGTTTGACCAAGTATACTTTGGGTGAGGCTGAAACCACTAACAAATTTCCTTGTCTCTTGTACAGCATAAACCTAATCATTTTCAGTTGACAAGGTTCTACAAAAAAATAGTGGTTAATGCTCTTCTGTTGCAGACATTGTACCTTGCTATTTCTTCATGATTATGTTGTTGCTTCGGTGTTGTAACTCTTGTTGATATATGCATGTATTCAGTTCCATTTTTTGTCTGAATTTGAGTTATCATGAACACTGCACCAAGCATTCCTCCACCAATTTTAACCGAGTATTGCTCTTTCTTAGATAATATCAACCTACCATATATTCATAATTCACATGTTTGCTGACAATGTTCAGTTACAGAGTATGGAAATAATTTTCTTGATTTTATGAACCCTCTCTTACTCAAATTTACTACTAGTTTTGACAGTGGAATAATATTGACAAAACAATCTATTTATCTTTTCATTCACAAGTAAATTCATCAGTTGAATGGATCCTCCTATTAAGATTTAATAGATCAAAATTCATTTAACCAATTTTTCAAAATTAAATTCTTTTAAAATTTACTTTTATAAAAAGTTTTCAAAAATATTTTTAATATTTATTTAACAACGTTTAATTTTGAAAATTGTTTTAAAAGTTTCATTTTAAAAAAATATTATAGTTATGAATGGATTCATTCATGAAAAAAATAAAATTAATGAATTGATTAATTAGATTTTATCAAATGGATTAACATTTATCATACCAAAGAACGAAAAAGGATAAACTGTAAATCAAATTCATTTTTAAAATAAAAATAAAAATTAAAGTTTTTATTTTTAAGGATAAATTTATCTTAGTTCTAACATTCATAAGCAAGACCGCATTGGTTAAATTTGGAAGAAATCATAGAGATAAAAAAATTGTCCCAAATTATTGTTTCTTTTATAAATATACCTTAAATTAAATAGTCAAAATAAGGAAAAAAATTAATAAATATAAAAAGTAAAAGCAATAAAACATTCAAGTAATTAATAATTAAAAAAATAATTTGAAATGAATAATTAAAACGTTAATAATTAACATTTTCTATCACTATATAATAACAATTTTCGTTTTATATTGAAATCATTTTCATATTTTGATTTAAATCATAGTTTTTTATTTTGAACATAAACTTGTTTTAGTTTTAGCAGTAAGGAAAAATTGATTTAATTGTTGGAGAAAAATATATCAAATTTTACTATAAAAAAATTAAATAAGACATAAGTAAATTAAATAAATAAGACTATTTTTACAAACGTACATTAACTAAATAAATAAATTAATAATATAAAAATTAAATGTAATAAAAATTGACACTTAATTAATAATTGAAGAATGAAAATTGAAAAGAATAATAATTAGCATTAATGATAAATTGTTTCACAATTATAAAACTTTAGAATCTCACTTAAAACCAAACGGTAATAATTTTAATTATTATTTTAAATTATCTTGAGTTGAAAATCCTAATAAAATTAATTGTTGTTTTAAAAAAAATATAATTTAAAATAGTTAAGATACATTATTTTATTTATTACATTTTTGATTTAGGATTGTTTGATGTTACAATTAACAATCTATTTTTATTTTTTCTTTATAAATACGCAATTCTGTGTTTTCTATCGGTGAAGAGTGGAGCCACGTAAGTTCCCACGTTAAGAAAACCGATGGCAGGTATTGTAAATAACGGGAGAAAACGAGGTCATTTCAATAAAACTCGAAACAGCACTTCATGAATCGTATAGCAACTCCGTTTCGCTGGCAAGATTCCGCGCCACTTCACTCTTCCACACATCGTTTCCCGCGCCAATTTTTTTCCAAATCAATCACACTCCACAACACAACACAACACAACCCAGCCCTAACCAAACCCCAATCCTTCCTCGCTCACTCCGAATCCTAGTCCCATCAACCATCCCAAGAAAACCATCATGTTCTATTCCCAAACCTTTTTGGCGCGAAAGGGCCCACTTTCCACCGTGTGGATCGCCGCTCACCTCCAGCACCGTCTCAAGAAATCGCACTACACCACCACCGACATTCCCTCTACAGTCTGTAAGTAAACGCCGTCGTTTCTTCGTTCCCGAATCATCTTCACCTCGTTTTTTTTTTGTTCTTAATTCTTCTTTTCTTGTGTCGTTCAGTGCGCATCATGGACCCTGGGGTTCCCATTGCGCTTAGAATGTCGGGTCACCTTCTCCTCGGCGTGGTTCGGATATACTCCAAGAAAGTGGAGTATCTTCACCAAGACTGCAAGGACGCGTTGACGGGTCTCCACAAGGCGTTGGCTTCTCTCCAGTTTGCTCAACCGGAGGAGGTGGGGCCAGCGCCGTTTCATTCGGTGACTCTGCCGGGGACTTTCGACCTTGATGCGCAGAATATAGAAGACCAAATGGATTACACAGGGTAACATTTTCTTGTTTTTTTTTTTTCGCTTTCTTGAGTTTTTCATGGTGTAATTTTGTTATCCTTTGGGCGTGTCTATCAGGGCTAAGGATCGGAACTCCGTGAATCCGGAAGACATCACACTCACAGGTTATATGATTGGATGAGTTGCGTTATTGTTGTTCGGAATAAACGATTGAATTAGTCCCTGAGGGTTTTGGATTGTTGTTTAGAATAAACGCTTGTTCTTTATGTTATGAGAAATTGCAGACATGCAGTCACATTGTGGCGATGGATTGTTTTTTTTTTTTAAACCCATTAGGCATTGGTTTAATTTGTGTAGAGGGGAATGCTATTTTAGTTAGGATAGTTTCTGAAAATAATTGTTTTTGTACTTGAAAAATGAAAAAGTAAATTAGTTATGGAAAAATACTATATTTATTGACTTTCTACGAATGCATTGATTTTTGTCTTTTGAGGGCTAATGTGATTGATGCCAAATTTGTTAGGACCAAAATGGTGTTCCGCTTACTGAAATGCGTTTAGTCATTCGGTCAGTTCCTATTATGTATTCTGTTGATCAATGAAATGTTAGTGATGTGAGGACTAATTTGACGAAAAAAAATCCACATTTGGGCCCCTGAGTGTTGTTTCCATTTTTCAGGGATTAATAAAACACCCTTTATCTTGTAGTCACTAATTTGATTATGAGCTCATTGCCTGCCTTTTGAAAGTTTGTGAGCAGATGGATGTTAATAATTAATAATTCTCAATGTGCAGATCGAATTCCTGTGACAACAGATTATTACGTGACTGTATCTTTTGATGAGGTGCAGTCTTATTCCCTCCAGACAACTGCGTAACTTGTATAATTTTGTTTCTTTTCAAACTGTAATGTTTTCTTTATTATTTAGGATATAATAATGGATTCTTCACATACAGAAGTGCTGCATGATTCTGGCCCTATACCAATGGAAGAGGAGTAAGCTTGTGTTGTATTATAATTTTTTCTCGTTCTTTCATTTTTTGGGATTATGAACCAATGGTACTTGTTTTGTTCCTGCAGCATTGTTCCCCAATCTCCATCATCAACAAAAGTTGTGGGTTCTGCAGATGATGGTCCAAGTGCCCAAAGGGAATCATTAACTGTCCAGTTGGATCCTACCATTCACAGTCCTCCACAAGCAACCCAAGTGGAGCCCATTGAGGTTCGTCGGGGATTGGCTCCTAGTCCTCCACAAGCAACTCAAGTTGAGGCACCTGAGGTTGGTCTTGATGCCAATGATCATCATCATCTTGAAAACCCGCCACTATTTTCAAACCTTGAGAATAATGATGCTGATCCAATCAGAGTTGTTGACTCTTTGATTCATGATTTTGATCCCGAAAGGATGTCCGAACCATCTCAACAACGATTTAATCCGCCAACTCCGCCTACAACTCAAGGGGGCACCTCGGATTTGCAAGTTCATGTTGGTCAGTGAATGCCTATCTATGCCACTTGTGTTGCATATAGATCTTAGAAATACAAAAATATTTTACTTTTGTTTTCTTTGCACTGTTTCAGAGAATAATTCTCCCAATTTTGTGCTTCCTGAAAGTCCACCAATACAGCAGCCACCACAGAGAGGAAGAAAAAGAAAACAATTGTTTGATGAACAAATTGTGTTAAAAAATAGGTAATATTTAAGATTATTTTTGTTGAATAGCTTCCTCCTCATGCAATTCATAGATCATACTTGCATAGTTATAAGTTCTTTTGTTGTTCTTCTATGCTTGTTACTCATGTTCGATGTGTCTTTGTAGATTCATGCGGAGTGCACTTAATAACCCACGTGATATACTGAGGAAAAGAAGAGAAGTTCCTTCCTCTAATTTGGGTACATGGAAATTTAACAACAGTAAAAGGAAAGAACACATTTTTTACCAGCCATTGTTAACTGGTAGGCTGATCTCTGCATTTTATTTTTCTGATTGTGGTACCTTGTAATTTTTTTCAACATGTGACCTGAAAACATATGGCTGTGTTCAGGGGTTGGCAAGGATCTTTTGGACATATGCAATGGTGAATATGTGCGTTCAAGACCTCATTTGGTCATCTCCGAGGAAGATCATGATGATGCTAGGATGGCTGAAACTCCTGCAACGAACCAAGTCCCTGAAGAGCCAATAGCTCCTACTAGCCAACCCTATGCAGAGCCAATAGCTGATACAAACCAAACCTCAGAACAGCCAATAGCTGCTGCTAACCAAATCACTGGAGAGCCAATAGCTGCTACCGACCGAATCTCTGAAGAGCCAATAGCTGCCACATCTCCTGGTAGTGCATTTGATATGGAAATTGAACATGCTCGAAATGTTGCTGTTACTCCCCCTCCCACCATCCACACTGTGGTTGAAGATGATTGCAGGAGCCCTGATAGAAGAGATGACTTGACTATGACTTCACTTCGTAACAAATCAGTTGCTTCTTTGGGAACAAATGTTGCATCTGAGAGAATGCAGACACTAGATTTAGCAGCATCACCTAGTGCTTATGGATCAGAGACAATGCAAACGACAATGCAAACACCAGATTCAGATACTAATCACTTGATCAATTCTGCTGCAACAGATGTAAGCTTTTAGGTTTTGCTGTGAATGCTTTCATATCGTCAGTCTTGGTTAATCACATCCAATTTCCTTTCAGTTCAAAGCATCTATTCTGACTTTGCTCTAGTAGATGGGAATATGCGAGTTGGATAAATGTAGAACTGTAACTATTTAACTACCTTATGACATATTGTTGTATATGTGACATAATTTTGAGACTTTTTAATAAGTGCTTCAATCATCAGTTTTTAAATATTTTAGGACTTAGCGCTCATGTTAATTAAAATACTTGCTTGACAAGTTGTCTTCTGCCTTTAAACTAGTAGCAAGTAGCATACAGCCTGAAATTCTGCCTTGTACACGACTTTACTTATTTACATGTGTCTATTTACAATAGTTTTTTTATATATACTTGACTGTCCTCTCTGCCTAGTCTGTTTTCACTATCCCTGAATTCCATTCTTATTTTGGCGCAGAAAATTTGCAATCTTACTATTGATGCTCTTAATGTGGTTGAATTGAAGTATTACGTCTAATTGATTGTCAAACTTGTTTTTGTAGGAGTTTTGGTTTCTGAGTCTGGGCAACAACACACCAGCCAGTAGGTTCTATATAAATGTCATCTTGAATTTGATTTTTCTGTCACATACCCTTGTATCACTTATTTATTGTGGCATTGCTTGTATTATATAATACTCAAGTGATACTAGATTCCAGTTTCTATTATATATATTTGATTTATGGTATAGATAACACTGGTAATTTATGTAGGTTCACAAGGTACAAGCGGAAGTAACATGACATTGTCTGAAAGGACTAAGTACGTATTCATAATACTTTTTCCCATCTTTATGATGTCTTGTTTTGGGAAGTTAGCATGTGCATATATACCATGTCTAAGTTGTTCATGTCCTTTTGCTTCTTCGTTATACCTTTTTTTTTTTTTTTTTGTTCTCTAGTGTCTGAACTTTGCCAGTATTCTTCACATATGAAATTTCAGATATGCAGCTGAATATTTGAAAACACTGAATCCAATCACCCCAATTTTGGAGGAACCTGCAGGAGATCAATCTCATCTCAGCTTGAACAAGATTTTGGAAGGGAAAACACGTCATACTGCTGCTCGAATGTTCTTTGAAGTATTGGTGGGTTTGAGACATTTCCATTCAAACAGACACCCATAATGTCTAAAGAATGTGAATATTTGTTGTTTGTGTGTTTTTAATGATTAGAATGCCATTAATGTGTGTTTGAAAAAACTTCGATTCAATCACCCCAATATTTGGCGGACCCTACGGGAGGTCTATCTCATCTCAGCATGAACAAAATTTTGCATGGGAAAACTCATCATATTGCTGATCATATGTTGTTTTGACTTATTAGAATGTGGTACACACACGTCTGTGTTATGCGGGTGTGTAACAGTGTCCTAACAGTGTTATTTTTTATGTTATTTATTCCTTTCCTTTAACAATTGCTTTCTCACTAGATACAATCCCTATATGTATTGCTCTTCTGTCTACTTGCTAAGTTTGTACGATTCATTTTCATGTGATCAACATAGCTACAGCTTTGAATCCTACTTAGTGCTTACAGATTTAGTTCTGTTAATATCTGTTAGAAAGAATGTGTAGTCAATTCGATTACAACATTAAGGGATATATATTTTTATATCATAGATGAATTCAAGTCCTACAAATAATGTGTTTTTGAAGAGCAAGCATTTCTGCGAGCAGTATAGTTCCCCTCCCTATATTTTGACTGATGTGGAAGTTGAATTACAGGTTTTACAGACTAATAGACTTGTTAATGTAGAACAAGAAGAACCTTATGGCGACATCCACTTGAAGTTGGCCGCCACGCCTTCAAATACTCAAAGTTGATATGCAGGTCCTTGTGTATATAGGTAAGAGATTTGATAATAGAAATTGAGTGGGAAACAATGGTTGTTGGGGTTGTAATTAATTATGATGGTAGCTTCTTGATAAATATTTAATTATTCAAGACACCAAATAGAGATTTTTATTATATAAATAGTATTTGATAGTGTTAAGGTTCCAACATAAAAACAATTGGCAATATGTGGATTAGCCTAACATGTATTTAAATCATACCAAATGACATGAAGTAGTCGATGTGAGACTTTCAACACACCCCCCAACGAAGCCTGCCGAACTAGGCAAAGGGTACTTTTGACCCAACTAAAGGGCAACTTTTGGTCCATGGCAATAACCGTAAAGATGTTAGGCTTTGGCTATGATACCATGTTAAGGTTCCAACATAAAACCAATTGACAATATGTGGATTAGCCTAACATGTATTTAAATCATACCAAATGACATGAGGTAGGCTATGTGGGACTTTCAACATATAACATAAAATAAATTGGTTCTTAGGCAAAAGTATCTCATTACATTGTTAGGTTTTTTGGTTAAAATTAGTGATTTCCCCCTTGATCCTACTACTCTGTCAAATCCATTTTCATCCTAATTGTTAGATTCAGGAATAATGTCTTTTATGATAACTGTTTTCACAGCGATGTACATATATTTATTCTATTAAATATTTATCATGAAATCTATAGGTTTTCATAAGCTTACAGTTTTTTTGCACATGTGTATATATATATAGAGTGTGTGTGTGTACATACTGAATGCAATATAGCGACTACAAGACTTACACCCTAAATTTAATTGGTTCATGCACTTGAAGAGCCTTGCCCTGCTCCCTCCCCGAATGTGTTTGTAGATTTTAGGTTTGTTAAAATAAGTGCTTTTTAATTTCACTTTATTCAATATTCTTTATACTTCTGTCCCTTTTATTCTGATTCCTCTGAGGAAAATTAAAGGATGTAAATAATAGCCTTGTGGAGAATGCTTTTAACCTTCAAGCATCATGTACAACCCAAATTTTTTTTTTACATCCGTTTGAAATGTCTGTTTGCTGATCCACATGTCAAAAGCTAGTTCTCTAACTTCTACATTGATTTGCAGTTGGATTTCTTGCCTAGAACGGAAATGCAGTTGGGTGTACAAGGCAAATTTTGACCAGCTTCAAGAGATGGTTTTTGTCACTGTTTAGGATGTATATTTGCATTCCGGTTAATTTATATTAACTTGTAATGATTAACTTATTTTTATTTAATTTATGTATATTTTAAAGGAAACAATAATTTAGGATTAAAATTCTCCACCTTGTAATTTGGTCTGGTTATTTTCATGTCAACAAGCATGTGTTTTTTAACACTACGTTGTTTTCAGGCATTTCACAAAAATGAGGATTTTTATACTGCGACGTGTAATTTATATAAACATTCGTCCAATTCAAAAGCTTTAAAACAATGTAACTAACTCATCGTGTTCGATATGGTACCAGCATCTTCAATAATCAATCAGATAAGATTTTGTTCTATATGTAAAATGCGATCTCAACCCATTCATCTAAACAATAGTGTTTGAATTTAACGATTTTACCCCCATAGGCCTAATTTTCTGAATTAACTTTGGGTGAATGAAAGGTGTGACTGTATAGTGAAAATGCAGTAGCCTGTTTGGTAATAAGTTTATTTATGGTTGTCCCTCTAACATATGGATATCACTCAATTAGGCAGTATGAACTATGAAGGTATAAAGTCTGAGTCAAATTTTGGTGAACTAACTTGCAGTCTGCAAAAAACACTAGAGGTAACATTACCTAAGATTAGCCAGTAAATTTATGATGCTCAAAACCACAAAATAAGCTCAAAGAACCTACCATCGATTTGTAGACTTAACCTGTCACCATTGGTACTAACAATTTATTGTATGCTCTGGTAGCAAAGTCAGGAAGTATGAGATGGGTATATTGCTGATAAGAGCAAACAGTTTAATTTACACTATTTTTGACACCAACTAAAACACTGCATCGGCAATCATTTGTCACTTGTCAGCAACAAGACTTTCAATTTTGTTTACAAGGTGGGCTTCATGATCTTCTAGGCGACCTTTGACTGTGTCATTCTCCCAATGGATCAATGTTGGCACCCCAGTGAGCTTGAACCTAGCGTCCACCCTCCATGGATGCTTGGGGTTTCTCCATGTTGGTCTATCTCCAACATAAGCTCTCAAAAGTGCAATGTCATCAGATGAAGCCTCCAGCTTCTTGTAGATCACAGGCTCTGCTCTCACACAATCTAAGAAGGAAAAGGAAATTATTACAAAAAATATAATCATGATTCTTGTAGATCACAGGTTCAGATTAACTAGTCATGCTTCTCTAACAATATGATACAAAATAAAATTTAATCAAGACCAATCGATTTATTTTTGTCTAATAAAATACTCTGATTGCCAACAAAAATATCTCATTTTTTTTTTAATTTTTTTTCAGTTTTGCCCAATACTGACATAGAAAGAAAACTCTTCTTCCCCATCCTCCCCTGAAAATTCCTTGAAACATTAAATGGACTTAGTGCAGTCAGTCATCAAATTCACACACTAACACAGTTATTAAATCAGAAGTTTTACGGTAATACACATTTTGTAGAAGAAAGAAGAAAAAGAGCAAGAATGCATAGATACCAGGGCACCAGCTGAGAGAGGTAGCAGGGTCTTTGTCAGCCAAGAAGAGGATGAGATTAGCCTTGTTTCCTGCAGCCTCTGATCGGAACTTCTCAAACACCCCATCAAAGCTCCACACTGTTGCCTCCAACACCTTCAATGGCATTTTTCTTCTCTTCCAACAAAAAACCAGACCACAAACTTCTCAGATTCTTCTCCAAAACAAATTTTAGTAAAGTATATATATATGATCATCCAAACCACCCCTATGTTATTTTTATATTTATCCTCTCATTGATATTTATTTTTTTTATTCACATTTTTAGTTTTTGTTTTTCTGATAATATATTTGTTTCCAAAACAACTTTGTATTGTAGATATGTCATGTGATAATGTCTTTTGTTAAATGTTAAAAGGTAATGATAGAGTAAATGGCATCAGATTCTTGCATAGTGAATATAATTGATTGCTTAATCAATTAATGACCGATATTAAATTGAATTAAAGTTGAATAAATAAATTGATATTTCTGCTTTATTCTTATGCTTTCTCTTGTGTAGTAAGAGGAGACCAAATATTGCTCATGTTTACCATTAAAAGAGATAATTTAATTCTATATTTTCCCTAGAATTCAGAATTATTCTAATTTTTGCGTGAAATTTTAAGACGACACTAATATTTTAAAACAGATGCAGTACTAAATGTGAATTTAATGATGTCTGAAAGCAAATAATTTTCTTATATATTTTGCAAAACGAATCAATAGGACAAAATATTGTAGAATAAGTTGCTTATAATGCCCCATTAAATGATGTGAAAATGACAACTTTTATAGTCAAATTAAATATTTATTTATGCTTAGAAAACAAAAGGCAAATACAACGAATGTAGACAATTTTAAATTTGTGTCTATATTTATCTTTTTGAACAGTTCTGAATGTATGCAGCCATTTTTATGTCTAAATACATTAGATAATTTAAGCAAATAGATTATTATTACAAATCTTTTTAAAACAAACAATAATACAGTTTCAAATTAGATTTGGTGGAGTGTATTGAATTTAGAGCCTCTTCCTTGATTTTCTATACACACTTTTAATTTCTTATACTTATATAGCAAGTGAATGGTCTTTTAAATATTAGATAAAATAATTTAATTAAAAGTATTAGTAGAAAAATAATTTAAGTTTTAAAATAATATTTTAATTCAAAATAATAATAAAATATATAAATATTTTCTTTAAGTTTTAATTTTTATTTTTTAGATTTGAAATTATAATTGATTGAATCAAAATTAAAAGAATCAATAATAACTTCTTCTTTTTTTCATTTTAGATTTTGGATAAAAATAATGTTTATTTTTATTATGTTATTGACTTATCATTGGTGAACTTTTTTCTAATGTTTTTTCTTGGATAATTATACAACAAAATAATATTAGAGTCACTTAGTTGAATACAATATAAAATAGGTGAAATGTCTTAGATTTATGAATTTTTTTATAAAAGTCTTTGTGAAAATAATATAGATAAATATGTCTTATTCTGATAAACAACAATACAAATAAGGGTTGTTAATATGTTTATTATTAAGATATGTTTTATTTTATAAAAGAGAGTTACACTTGAAAAGAAAATTATTGCACTAAGGTATTCATTAGTGAGAGATATATTTGCTTAAGGGGGAAATCAATATTGAAGAGACTTAAACTTAATGAAGAAACTATTGAGATTTAAGTGTAATTATAGTCATCTATTGAATAAAAATAGAAAAGTTATTGAGTATATAAGTGAAAAATATCTACAAATCTATTATCTTAAAATTTTATATTTAAAGTGATGTTATATTCTTTTATGCAATTAGTTTGTAGCCCTACCCATTAATGAATTTTTTTGTTATTACTCCCCTCTTATTACCTAACAAGTGGTATAAAAATTTCGTAAGCCATTGTATTGTGTAACCTTATTTTGAGAGTTTCATAATTGAAAATAATTTTATTTAGTTGTAATAGAATCGGGAAAAGTTAAAATTAGAAAGATTACTCAATTAATTAGATAATATGGTATAATTTAGACATATTTGACAAGTTTTTAATATTGGTAACAATATTAAGAATAACATATTTTTGTTAAAATCTAAAATTAATCTTCTCTTATTCTAAAATTAATCTTCTCTTGTTTATTGAATTTAGGATAGAACTTTATTTTTAAAGAACATAGATCATCCACTCTGAATGCTTTATAAACATCCTTAGCAACAAACCTAATACTAGGAGTTAAAATTTTTATGCTTTACTTATTGAACATATGATTTAATTCATACAATAATTTTCAATTAAAGCTAAACAATTTTTAAATCTCACATATTTAATTATAACTTTAAAAGTAAACTAATAAAAAATATATAATTTAATGCTAATTAATGTAAATAAGCAAATGATACAACATTTAAAAAACTTTTAAAATAGTTTAATTAGTTAGATGAAATTGACTTAAGCCAAAAACTAAGATTAGAAAAAAATAGGGAGAAATTTCTAAGTTCCGGTGGATAAAAAGTAATTATTATGGATAGGTGCTTTCATCACTATTATGGAGCATTCCTTGACAATTATGAGGTTGACTTTTGAAACTTTGTAGGAGTTAAAGTCTTATAAAAATCTTAGATGTAAAGGGAAAAATGAACTTGAAAAGTTTCATCTCGTACTTATAAATACTTAAGATTTGATATCATATGTACTTATAAAAAATATTCTAATTATATTTATTCCTAATCTATTTATAGTTTAATAAAGATAATTAACATATTAGTTATCAATCGCTCAATTAATAACTAATAATTATACGATATTATATAATAATTCCAATATGTAATATATTTAATATATTATTAATTTTTGGATCAAATGGGTACAAAATACAAAACTTATTTACGAGTTTATATTAATGATAGTAAATTTAACGTTCATAAATGCAAAAATTTTATTCGAGAGAAAATTGTGTTAATCAAAATGAGTATCAAATTTATGAATCGAAGAACTCAATGTTTATAGTTCATTAATGCATGTGTTGTGAGAGTCATTTTAGCTTTTGCATAATCCCTTTCCAAATTTCGCTGATCCATTTGAAGAATTGGATCCAACGTTCGACAACTTTTACATATTAAAGGTCAATCACAAGGATCTTTTACTTGAAATACCTATGTTGCATGATGTTCGTATTCCAGAGTTGACGAAAATAACAAGTGACAATGAAATTAATTGTTAAAATGATGAAGGTGAAGCTGCCCAACATTGACACTGACATGGAAGAAAGTGAGGGAACACAAGATCTTGACCCTCTTTAAGATGAATATTTTTAAGTTTGTTGTAGTCTGTTAGTACTTTTGTGTAATTTCTATTTTAGGTTAATGTAGTTTTTATGTTTCAATGCTTTAAGTTGTAGGTTTATGCACTTTTTATGCTCCATGTTTATGTACTTTTTATGTTACAATGCATTAAGTTCTCTTAACGTGTCATTTTTTGTGATTTTTTCACAACTTTGGATTCAATTTTCTTCATTTTAACAAACTTTTAACTTACACTTGTTACCATTACATTTGTTATCGTGAAAACTATAAATCAATGTCAAACATCGGACTAAAAAATGTTATAAGGTGCCACATAAATCCCGTGAAAATCCTAAAGTGATAACTTGTGTAAAGTGTCATTTTGTCACTTTTTGACTATTTAGTATTCAATTTTCTTGATTTTAACAACTTTTTAACTTAAATTTGTTATCATTGCATTCATTGTTATGAAAACTATAGACCAAGACCAAACTTCTTACCAAATAATGTTATGAAAGTACCACATAAAATTCATGAAAACTTCAAAGTGATAACTTATGTAATGTGTCATTTTGTTATTTTTTTCTACTTAGGATTCAATTTTATTGATTTTAATAACAACTTTTTAACTCAAACTTTTTCTATTGCATTCGTTGTTATGAAAATTATAGACCAAAATCAAACATCTTACTAAATAATATTACGAAGGTGCCACATAAAGTCCATGAAAACCCTAAATTGATAACTTTTGTAACTTATCATTTTGTAATTTTTTTTGCTACTTAGGATTCAATTTTCTTGATTTTAACAAATTTTTAACTCAAATTTGTTACCATTGCATTCATTGCCATGAAAACTATAGACCAAGGCCAATCATCTTACTAAATAATGTTATGAAGGTATCATATAAAGCCCATGAAAACCCCAAAGTGATAACTTTTGTAGCATGTTATTTTGCCATTTTATCACTACTTAGGACAAATACATTGTTGAAGATAAGATTCTTCCAAACCACACCCTGATACATACTGTCCTAGGTCTTAGCAAAAAACAACGATCACAATCAACTTTCTATATATCAATGACCCATATTGTGTCCACAATATTCAACGGTCCAACTCAGAGGATAGAGACATTGTTCATGATAAGATTCCTCTAATGCACGCCTTGACACACTTTGTCCAAGATCTCAGCAAAAAGCAACAACCAAGATCAACTTTCTATATATCAACGATCTAGATTGCGTCCACAATATTCAACGGTCCAACTTAGAGGAAAGAGTCATTGTTCATGATAAGATTCCTCTAATGCATGCCTTGACACATTCTGCCCAAGGTCGTAACAAAAAGCAACGACCATGATCAACTCTTCATATATCAACGACCCGAATTGCATCCATGTCATCCAATGATCTAACTTAGAGAATAAAGTCATTGTTCAAGATAAGTTTCCTGAACCACACCCTGACACACACTATCCTAGGTCTCAGCATAAAGCAATTATCACGGTTAACTTTCCATATATCAATGACCGAGATTGAGTCTATATCATCCAACGGTCTAACTCAGAGGACACAGTCATTATTCAAGATAAGATTGCTTTGAACCACACCCTAATACACATTGTATTAGGTCTTAGCAAAAAACACGACCATGATTAACTCTCCATATATCAATGGTCCAAATTGCGTTCATGTCATTCAACGGTCTAACTCAGAGGATAAAGTCACTATTCACTATAAAATTCCTCTGATCCACACCCTAACACACTCTGTCCAAGGTCTCAGAAAAAGGAACAACCACGATTAACTCTCCATACATTAACGACCTAGATTGCATCCAT